CACGGACAATTTCTGCCGTTGTGCAAAGTATTTCAAATTTTAGTTTGCTACTAAGTGCCTTCTCCCGTGGGGCATTACACAAATTAGATTATTGATAGCTTATCATTAAAGGATCTTTTAAAGCCCCACTGCCTACTTGTAGCTACTTGCTCCCTCTATATAGAAAACTTCTCCAATCGGTGCCTGTTGGTCCCCCATGATCTTCTTTTTATTATGTTAGTTGAGAGCTGAGTTGATGAGATAGCCACATGTCAGTGACTTGGCTGGGTGGTCTTATCCCTTCTGGTCCAGTAGTATTGACGATCTTTAAAATGATGTCATTACAAAAAAGATATTTTCGTCATTTCGAACAGAAACTATGAACAGAACGGTTATGCAATATGTCATTGTTATTTCAACTATTAGCTGTTTTCCTAGTGTTTGCTGTGGAAAAATTTAATCTAAGGCAAAATCAACAGCCTCGTTCATCACCTTTTGAAACCTACTATTTAAACATTCCACAGACGTACATGTATACACAGGCTGTTCAAATTGACATTTTTCTTTGGGCTGATTTCTCGAAAGTTTTGGTGATCGTGTTATGAAGAAATTTGTTTAATAAACGCACAATCATGCCGGGGGAAACGCTTTTTGCAAGAAGATCCGCGGGGTGAGCCGGAACTCCTTGATTTGAGAAAATCACACGTTAGTTCTCTCTTTTTCACAAGCAGGTGAATACAAAATGATCGGTTTATGTACATGTATAGCCAACTAGTGCTAGTTAATATACGTGTGTACAACATGATTGTTAAATTTGACATTCATGGTACGTTAGCAAGTTCGTTTGTCTACGGTTTGAATCCGATTCGGTAGTTATTCTGACTAAAAAGTTAAATGCACAAAAATTCCGGTTATTAGTATTTCTTATCATCATTCAGAACGTAAATCGGGAAGACGATGCTTGTTTAGATTTTCGTATCTAATATGATTGTCATTTTTTCGAAAATCAGATCGCAGGAGCATCGTATAGTGTGCGTTGGGCATATTAAACGCTTACCCTAATCCCGACCCTAACCCTAACCTAAACGCAATTGTCATCCTATAACATATGATGAAGGTATCTTGGAGGACGTGTCCTCGGAGCAAATGTCGGATCACAGTCAAATCATTCCTCTTTGTGCAATATATACTGTTTAGACGTAGATCCTAATCAAAATGATTGTTCGAGAGCGTACACGTGACCAGGCATTTATTTTGCCGAACACTTAATTTTGATAATGACCAGTCATTATCAAAAGGTCATTAGTAAAATCATGTTATAAAACTTCATTTTATTAAAAAAAATAAAACATCATCTTATAAAACATCATTTTATTAAAAAAAATAAAACATCATTTTATTAAAAAAAATAAAACATCATCTTATTAAAGAAATAATACACATCATTTTGTTCGGGCATCTAGTAAAATTACCCACACTCGGTACCTTCGAAACAGTCCAGACACCCTCGGCTATCGCCTCGGGAGTGTTAGAGTGTTACTGGATCAGGCGCGTACGCAGGGGGGGGGGGGGTTAACCCCCCTTTGGTAGTTTTATGTATGTAAACCCCCCTAAAAAAACGTAAAACCCCCTCCCCCCCTTTTTTATTTTTTTTATTTATTTATTTTTATTAAAAAAAATAAAAAACAAAATTATTCCCACGGCCGACCCAAAAAAGGTGACCTTATCCCCCCCCCCCAACTGAGCAAAATGTCAAATTTCCAAATTTCGAGACCCCCCCCCCCCCAAAAAAAAATGACCTCTTACACCCCCCCCCCCCCCCCCCGATTTATAAATGTTAAAACCCCCCTTGAAAAAATCCTGCGTACGCGCCTGTACTGGATGGACATGATTTGCAGAAGCAGACGATGTCCCATGACATCTCACACCTTTTCAGTGCCTGTTTCTTCATCTTCTCTTGAGTTCTTTCTCTTACTTCATTACCGTCAGGCTAAATTTGTAATCTATTACCTCGCTCTATACCCCTCGCATGTTTTTATTTTGATGACAAATGCAGCGATACAAACTTAAACGAATCTGTTGCTTGTAAACAAAAAAAGACGCCATTGTATATTCAGCTGCACACACCGCGGTATGTTCGGCGTTTCAAGAGGGAACAAATGCCGTCCTTAATTTCATTCCGGGTGGTTTTCAATTTGAAAGTGTGGTTTCTTTGATTGATAATTAACCCCTATCCTGTGTATTTACAAACAAAATATTTTAGTTATCAGAATCGGTTTCATATCCCCTTTTGAATGGTTTGAAATACCATCACATTCTTCAGGTGCTATGCGCGGGCTGTATTTAAGCGTTTTGTAATTTATAATAATCATTACTTCGAATATCTCCAAGCATTGGATTTTGATAACCTCAGTGCAGCCTTTTCACACACACCTAAAATTCATCGTATCTAGAGATGATTAGTATAAACATGTTTAACTCAACAGTTTCAAACACGTTTAAAGAAAAATTTCCCTGTGTGAACATCGTTTATACGATGTTCGGATAGATACGAAGTCGCGATTCATACGCCCCTCAAAGCAGGCTGCAGATACGAAGTTCGTATCTAGAGAGCTTGACATTTTGTGTTTGACGGTTTAAACGTGTTTAAACTGGATGTAGCGTGTGCTTTGTTTGATATGACCTGACCTTCAATGCGCAATGGCACTACTGCGCATTTTAAGAGCAGTAGTTAATCACGAAACGATTAACGATCGCACCGAAATTTCTGTGTGTGAATGATGTTGTATGTACACATGATTAGTTTAAAGCCCTTTAAACTAATCATGTTTATAGAATTTTAGCTTTGTGTGAAAAGGCTGCTAGTCGAATCAAAGTTTCAACTTTGCAATAATGAAAATAAAGTTAGTTTTTAAAATCAATGAATATCTACTTTAAGCATTTGGGAATTAGATGATTCAGTTGTTAACGGTTTAAAATCATCATTAGCTCCCGTCAAAGTAAAAAACAAATATTAATGTATATTGCAATGATTAATATAACAAATTACCTTTGAAAGCCATAAAGACGAAAGCTTTGCAAAAGCGTTATTTTCAAAGGAATGATATCAGTTGCAAATTTATTATAAACAAAAAGATTTTCAAGTTGTCCATATTAATTTGGCGTGGAGTTTGTCACACCGCTCTCTAAAGCACAAATTAATTTATCTGAGAAAATTAATGTATCTATATTATTCTGGTATGGGTTAATTCATTATTGATAATATCTCATCTTTCTCTTTTCATGACAACGGAACGTCTGTCCGCTTTTATTGCAAAGTCAAACGTAAATCCACACGTGGAAATGATGTATGGTAAATGTGCAGGAGTGGTTCGGAAAAGCATGTGTACGATTTACCGTATAGTTTACATATATTATATTGTACAGTATATATATATATATTTGGAGGGGGCAGGGCTTGAGAACTACAAAACCCCTACTAGTAAATCCACATCCTAAATTCGGTGGTCATGTTGGTTGAAAGTTACAGTGGAATGAGCGTCCATGCAAATTTTGCATTATTGGTTCCCTGCATGTAATGTCATGTATTTCCCTCTTGTATTATACAACGATATGACTTTGGTATAATAATCGAGTTAAAACAACTTTTGGTGCAATATGTCAAAGACATGTGAATAGTAAAAGGAAGAACAAATAAGAGATGTAAGGAGAGTATGAGAGAGAGAGAGAGAGAGAGAGAGGATAGAGAAATGGAGAGAGAGGTGGTGAAAAGGGAGGAAAAGAAGATATATATATAGAGAGAGAGAGAGAGAGAGAGAGAGAGGGAGAGAGAGAGAGAGAGAGAGAGAAGGGGTAGAGAAAAGGCGAGGGCTGGTGAAAAAGGAGAAGAATATATGATATGTATATATATGTATATATATACATAGAGAAAGAGAGAGAGAGAGAGAGTAGGGATAGATAAATGGAGAGAGGTGGTGAAAATGGAGGAAAGGAAGACAGTATAGAGAGAGAAAGTAGTGATAGAGTGACAGAAAGAAAGAGTCGGGGGCTAAGATAATGGTAAACTTATTTTACACCCACCCTGACACACACACAAACACTCATATTTTTATATGGGGATCTTCAAAAATAAACTTGTATTGTAATACAAACTCACCATCTTCTTTCAGTAGACAAAGATCAATGCAATGAAACACACGAATCCTTTATATGAATTAATTTATGTTAATTTGTGCAAATAACGATTATTTGAAACAATTTCCCATTCATATAGAAAAGAACAATAATGCATCTACTGATAGGGATAATGTGATTTATACAATAATAATTACTAATATTCATCTCGCCACTGAATTCAAGTCACTCCATGACTTGTAACATTGCTTTATTACCAGCAAATATCGTTTGTTTGGTGTTGTTGTTGTTGTTCTTCTGCTGAGATTAAACACGTTTAATGAGTGTATAAAGGATGCGTTCAAATTATTTCCCCGTCGTTTATAAAGTACATCGTACTTTTACCTAAACTCCTATGGTGCCATGAAACGTGATTCTTTTTTTAAATTAAGGGATGTTTTGTTTATTTTAGTCTCCTGTTGAGGGTGGTTTGAGGAATTTGCTCATCTCGATTTGAGATAATAAATATAAAAATAATGAAATAAGTCTACGCATGAATAACATACATTCAGACGAAGACCACATAGATCCTATAATGAGGGAGCTCAATGACAGGGACGCACACACACGCACATGCACGCACGCACACTCACGCACACGCACGCACGCACACGCCGGATCAGAGATCAGACACGACTGGGCATCTTTTCACGTAACCGTCATAAGTACAAGTTTACCGACATCTCATTGAAATGCATGTCAATTATACAGCACAGACGTTTTAATGTTATGCCGGAGGTCGGTAAACTTGTTCTAATGACGGTTCCGTGAAAGGCTGCCAGGAGAACCAATTGTAGAATCGCGTAAAAGATCAAACAGAAAGACGAGTTTTAGAGCCGATAGATTTATTTCGTTCAATAAATAGTTTATAACATGGTTAGTGTAAAATAAGAATGATAGGCATTTGTTTAAAAATGCACACATTGATGAAATGATCTTGAATTTCCCTTCATCGGTAAGCATGATTAGTATTTCACTGTGAAAAAAGTGTAAATCATACAGTAACGTATTTTCTTATTTAATTAGAAATTTTAAAAATGACGAAAAAAGGGCATTATTCTCAGATGTATGAAACTAGATTAATTACCAGGTAAACTTGGTTTTTTTCAAAATCGATAAAGGCAACGTACACAGTAGTATATGTAGCTATTTGCTTTTCTGAGTTACTGTTTTAGCCATAATCACAAGACATTAATAAACATGCTGTCATTGAGTTGTCCAGGAGGTTTAGGGAATGCATTGGTACATATTTAGGTATCTTATTTAATATGTTTATATACGTTTTTGGGGAAATGAGGATAAATAAGACTTGAAACAATTTAGTTATCATAAATTCATCATACATGGTTATAACGATTCACACCTTCATTAAATCAAGTCACACGACTATACCACAAGAAAAATAAAGACTAATATGTTTCGGGTCTTTTGGGTCCTATTTTACTCTATCGTTGGTGATCGATATGACGGAATGAAGCTAACTCTCTTCTTGATAGTCTTGGTCGTCTGCTTCTTCTTCTTCAAACTCGCCCTCCTCTTCGGCGGTGGCGTCCTGGTACTGCTGGTACTCGGACACCAAGTCGTTCATGTTGCTCTCAGCCTCAGTGAACTCCATCTCGTCCATACCCTCACCAGTGTACCAATGGAGGAAGGCTTTTCGTCTGAACATAGCGGTGAACTGCTCAGAGATGCGCTTGAAGAGTTCCTGGATGGCGGTGCTGTTGCCTACAAAGGTAGCGGACATCTTAAGTCCGCGAGGAGGGATGTCACAAACAGCGGTCTTGACATTATTCGGGATCCATTCGACGAAGTAGCTGCTGTTCTTGTTTTGTACGTTGAGCATTTGTTCGTCGACCTCCTTCATGGACATGCGGCCACGGAAAACGGCGGCAACGGTCAGGTAGCGGCCGTGGCGAGGATCGCATGCGGCCATCATGTTCTTGGCATCGAAAATCTGTTGAGTGAGTTCAGGAACAGTGAGGGCACGATACTGCTGACTACCACGGCTAGTAAGAGGAGCAAAGCCAGGAATGAAGAAATGAAGACGAGGAAAGGGAACCATGTTTACAGCCAGCTTACGGAGATCTGCGTTCAACTGTCCAGGGAATCTCAGACAGGTCGTTATGCCACTCATGGTTGCACAAACGAGATGATTCAAGTCACCATAGGTCGGAGTAGTGAGCTTCAGGGTACGGAAGCAGATATCGTAGAGGGCTTCGTTGTCGATGCAGAAAGTCTCATCGGTGTTCTCGACCAGTTGATGGACGGAGAGGGTGGCGTTGTAGGGTTCGACAACGGTGTCTGAAACCTTCGGCGAAGGGACGACGCTAAATGTTGTCATAATTCGATCGGGATACTCTTCACGGATCTTGCTGATAAGAAGGGTACCCATTCCAGAACCCGTGCCACCACCAAGAGAGTGTGTCAATTGAAAACCCTGTATCATGATACAAAAATGATATCAAAGTCGGTTTAATACATTTATAACATTGAAACAAACTAAATCAACACTTTACACAGGTTGCTCTACAGGGCAAAATACGCTACTGCTATTATTACTGTCAATCTTAACTATACAAAGAAAGCAATGATTACATTTCTGAAACAAACAAATACATTCTAAGTTACACACTTTCTATTTAATACCCTACAAAAAAGTGCACTTCTGCTATTGTTGTTGTTAATCTTGACTATATAGAAAACAATATTCTTATCTTACTTGGAGACAATCACAGCTCTCAGCTTCTTTCCGCACGATATCCAAGACAGAGTCCACCAGTTCAGCGCCCTCTGTGTAGTGTCCCTTGGCCCAGTTGTTCCCTGCCCCGCTCTGGCCGAAGACGAAGTTGTCTGGTCTGAAGATCTGACCAAATGGACCAGAACGGACAGAGTCCATGGTGCCTGGCTCGAGATCGACGAGCACGGCTCGTGGAACGTACTTGCCGCCGGTAGCCTCATTGTAATAGACGTTGATACGCTCGAGCTGGAGATCAGAGTCGCCATGGTAGGTACCAGTCGGGTCGATGCCATGTTCATCAGAGATCACCTCCCAGAACTATTACGATAAATCGTGAAAAGGAATGGTTCTATCTTAGATATTTTGTTGTCTCATAACCACATCAACAACCAAAAGAACAGCCACAATAATAACGATACTAATAATTAGAAATGATAATAATTCAGTACGCCTATGCCGCTGAGTCTTTAATCTACACAAATACGAAACAAAGAACTCGTATACACGATAATATTGTATGCTTGTGAGTATAGGCGACCAGGTATTCGACACCTTTTAATTCTCTCCGAGGGACTTGAGGATTTATAATGCCTTAACAAAGGGCACCAGCGCGTCGACATGGATTTGGACTCAGGACCTTTACTTAGGAGTCCACTTCTCTATACCACAGAACCATCACGCTTCCTTTGTTTAAATGGATTGTCAACATTTTAGAAAACCCTTTGCAGTGCATTTCCCTAACTAAAAGCGGAACAGTACGGGCTGTCGATTGGTGATCTGAAACGGTTTATCGAAATGCGCTATCATCAAAAAAGTGTTTTTTTTCCCTCCAAGTTACAAGGAATTAATTTCAAGAGAAACGAATCTTTGACTCACCTTTGCTCCGATCTGGTTACCACACTGACCTGCCTGAAGGTGAACAATCTCTCGCATAGTGATAGATTTGGTGGGATTTTAATCCCACAAGAAAATGAAATGACTTGATGATGTGCAAACACCTCCAATCGGAATATACAATGATGGTTGTCTATAGAGCATGAGGGAGCGAATGTTAACGAGCCGTTGCCTGCATATAGTTATATGGACTGTTCCCTTCCATTCGCTTTACCCACCAACAAAGGAAAGCATCCGTACCTAGTATGCAAATTTGCTGGGATCAACTCAAATTTCTCATTTGTAGATAATAGCAGCAACGGAAATCTATTTACAACCGGCGTGCAATTTGAGACGATCCCAGAGGGCCTTGGCATGGAATCGACCAATAGCAACTGAAATCTTGAAGTTCTTGGCCAATATTAATCTGCTTTTGTTGTCGCGACAGTCGCATTGGGGTAGCATCGCCGTTGCTATGGGGACAGCGATGTGGAATGAGTTAATGAAGCGCAAACCTCGTTAGTCTATGGGATTGTTTGCAACGTTGCTATGGTGATGAAACGATCGTATATAGCTCAAGGACCTTGATTAGTTGGAGAGTATTAAAGGACAATCCAACCTTTATAATTATTCCATTTGTATGGAAGCGGTAATGTAAGAGAAACAGAATGGCGAAAATTTGAAATATATCGGACTAATTATAATTACGCTATGAATTGTTCAAAATATGACATCCCTAAAGCTATGCGAATCTCAAATTGGCATTTTTTTTTCGTCACTGGATTGTGATGCAGTCACGGACAACTCTCCCTTGTGTCGTGTTGTACAAAAGTATTACAATTTGTTGTTTTGCTACTAAGCGCCTTCTTCCTTGGGGCGTTTAATACACAAAGTATATAATGGAAAGCTTATCATTAAAGATTCTCTTAAATAAGGAATCACTCCCTAGTCATACAAAAAATACATTTTAGTCATTTTAAACAGAAACTACGAATAAAAAAAGGTTATGCAATATGTCATTGTAATTTCTACTGTACTTATTCACCCCCTAGTGTTTGCTTTAAAGAATACGAGTCTAATAATCATTCGTTCGTAGCCCATGGTTACCGGAGATAGAAGAGGTCGCCGTTTATTTTGAACTAGAAGTTTGAGACCATCCCTGGCATGCTGGCATCCGTTTGACCAATAGCGTTTGGTCGATTCTAAGTTCGTGGTCACTTTTACCTTGGAATTATTCCTCCATAATGGACAGAGGGTGATATCGTTGCCGTAACCATGGAGACATCAAGCTAGCATGACCATCGGAAAACGAAGCCTGTACCTCGTTTAGTTTACGAAGTAGAAGCCATGTTGTCATGGTGATAGAATGTAAACAAAAACTGGACGTTGTCTTGAGTGCAAATCTTATATCATAAATGACCAGCTCCTTTACTTCTTCTAGACTTGTAAAAACTGCTCGCAAACGACATTCCAAATAAAGGGAAAAACGGCACACTGCTTTTTTTCCCGTTACTAACATGTCCGTTACGGACATTCATAATTATTATTAAATGGCTTTGTTAATCCTAGAGGTCTAAAAAAGAAAAGAAAGAGAACGTAAGAATTAACATACATGAATAAAAAACAAAATGTGAAATGAACGTCGTATACAAAAAAAAAACAATCACAAAATAGTACATTATATTGTAAGATCCTGTACAATAATATAACAAAAAATAAAAAAATCCACCCCTCCGTAACCCTTCCTACCCAATTATACTCATGGCACCGCTGCACTGTACTGAGAATCTGTTATATAATTATGCTGCTACACTGTTTAAAATGAAAAGGGAAAAAAGGGAATTTGAAGAAGAAAAATATGCTGGGTATGGTCTCGTGGTTATCCACTTGAATCGAAAGTAAAAAGAGTCGGATAGTCTGCTTTTCGTTCATAACAGATTCAATGAATTTTAGCAGGGATTTTTTGTTGTTGAAATTCACGCCTTCACCGCTTCACTGTGGCAATGAGTTAAAACTTTACACAGTGCAATTGCATAGATGTTCGTACGTACCTACCTGGGAGATCATTATCTTGGGCAGAATCTAAGCTTTTTTAAAAAAACCTCTCGTTTGTTGAGCATTCCATTTGAGGAGAGGAAAAAATTAAACAGTAGTTAGTACAAAATGAGTACATCAACATCTTAAAATTCATGACATAAGAAGGGGCTATAGTCCTACCACCAGACCGCAGTTTTTTGTTTGGAGGTTATCAAAATCAGACATCAGTCCTATTCAATATACATAAAAGGTCAAGCATTATCATATAGTATAACGGTTTTCCTTTCTGTCGTACAGGCTATAGATATAGTCCTAACTCAATTTTATCATAGAAGGGTGCAGAGGACCTTTCCTTATTATTTACATTTCATGGAGCAATTTGGGCTGGTTTTTATATCTGAAATGGAGCTTTTATTCTATAGGCATTGTATTATGTTACGCATCACAAGCTCCAAGAGAGATGCCCATTGTCTGACTAAGGGTGGTATCTTCGAAAGCGGACTAACTTTAGTCCATGGTTTAATCCACCTACTAATTATGGAATGCCAAGTGTCCATATGAATATGTTTTTGAATAATTTAATCTGTCACTAAATTAAAATAAAATGTAATAACGTAACTATTTAACAACAATGCAACTATGGTATAATTATGTTATCATGGTAATTTAGGAATATATCAAACTATTCAAAAATATATTCATATGGACACTTGGCATTCCATATTTGTTCGGTGGATTAAGCCATGGACTAAAGTTAGTCCGTTTTTGAGAATACCACCCTTAGAGTTTACCCTCCGTGTCCATGGAAACGAGAATTCGCTTGATATCCGTTCTTTATTGATTCCTGTAAAACGGCCTTGATTTCCTTTCGGCAATCAAATAATCAATTAACGGCATGACAACCACGAGCTGATGATCAAGTAGTTAATGCAACACAGCCAATATTAATTCCTCTGCTTTGAAAACTAGACATACGTTATACTGCCAACGGCTTCTATAACGCTATAATTGTACTATTCTTTTTCTTCTTCAGATGACATTGAGAAATGAAATATAGGTTCACAAGATTTGAAAATAAGTATAAAATGGCCTCAATGGCCTCATACAGCAAATATGTAAAGCAAATAACACAAGTGAAATGAATCAAAAAGGTCCCATCTGGACTCTTTACTTTGTTAGCATATCTAATATTGTATCACACACACACGCACACACACACACACACACACGTACACACACGCACACACACACATGCACATTTTTTTTTTTTTTTTTTAACAATTTTGTTTTATTTCTCCAGATGTGTAATACAAACCATGACATACAATTGAATAAAATAAACGTGTTCAATATTGATGCTTTTACATAAACATAATTAAACACAAACTTATTTGCAGTATAATATAACTTAGCAACAAAGTAAACGTATAAGTACCTAAACATAATATGTCAATTGTTAATGTTATTTACTTATATATTACAAAAAAAAAAAAAATCTGGAGATAATTTTACTGAAACAATCCTGCCCCCTCCCTGCCCCCTACATCACACAGACATACTCACCCTCTATCACACAAACATACTCACCTACTCACACACATACTCACCCACCCACCCACCCACCCCCCCCCCCCCACACACACACAGTACTCACTCAGTGGATGTCTGCCAACATTCTCAACTTAAGAAAAATATACTAAATAAGTTATCCAGGCCGCAAAATCGAGTTACGCTTTTAACAAGCTCACGGTGGAGAAGAAAGCAAATCTTAATTAATCTTAAGCTGCTCCCACTTTAAAAAATGTGATCCTAGCTTTCCCATTTTAATTGCTATTTTCTTTTCCTCATCCCTATACTTAAAAATGCTTTTTTTCATCTTTTCTAAAGTTAGTACTCGCCCCCCCGATCTCGACATAAATGTAACATACTTCACCATGAAAATGATAGTATTACACATTTTTATTCTATATGAACTACCTACCAACCCAACAAATATATCTCGCCATTCTAAATCTTTAATTTCATCTAACTCAAAAAGTTGTATTAAAGCCTGCCATAACCTTTGAACGCTCCCACAAGATAAAAATAAATGTTTGTATGTTTCTATTTCCTGCTTACAAAACGAACATAAATTATCACCAACAAAACCAAATCTATGAAGATGCTCATTAGTGTATATGGCTCCATGCAATAATTTAAATTGAAATTCACGTTGTTTTCTAATGAGTATAGTAATTCTTGGTCTAACAAATATTTCTTTTAATTCTTTATCTATAAAATCATAATCATTTTGCCCATCCCTTACCTGCAAATCATACGTTCGTTGCAGTGCTTTGATGAAATAATCATAGATTGTTCTTGAACCCGCATCCACAAACTGTATTTTTTTACTAGAAATATGGAAATAAGTATTAAAGCTTATCAAATCAACCTCGAGGAATTCTATTAACCCTGAATCATCCTTCCATAACCTGGGTATCGCATCATAAATATCAATAATCATAAGCAAATTATTACCTTTCATACCGAGGTTCATAAAATATTTAACAGGCTTAACATGACCTTTCTCAACCAAATGATTCAGTTGAACAATCCCTCTTTCAAACAAGTATCTATCAAATATACTTTTTCCATTTATACATATATTCTGATTATTAAAAATAATTGGATTAATATAACCCTCCAAATATCTTAAATTACTTGTCTCTTGCCATGCTTGCAACATTTCCATATAGTATGGTGGAATATCTAAAACGAGTTTAATCTTGTTTAAATCATAATCACATAAAAAAAAAAAATCTACCACCCACAAACTGTAAGCAATGATCAAAAAACAATTTCCATCCCAAACTTTTCTCTCCATATAAAAGACGTTTTATCCACATTATGCGCTGTATTTTAACGGACATTTCAAAATTAATCATTCTTAATCCTCCAAAGTCATAATCCTGATACATTATTGCCCGTTTAATTCTATCTTTCCCCCTCCATATGAATTCAAATGAAATTTTTGCAACTTCTTTATATACCCAATGAGGGACAATAACGAGAGATGAAATATAATTTAATTTTGAAAGCGCATAAGTTTTTAGCAAATGTATTTTACCCATAATAGTTAAATCTCTTTGTTTCCACCATACAAGCAATTTTTTTATTTTACTTAGAATTTCTTTATAATTCAAATCATCTTTTAAACTTCGATCTAATGAATAACTAACCCCTAAAATATGTATTTCCTTAACCAAATTTCCAAATAAAGGCCCATCAGGTTTGTTCTCATCCTCACACATACACACGCACACACACACACACACACACACGCACACATGCCACAACACGTACACACAGTCTCTCTCTCTCTCTCCCCCTCTCTCTCTCTTTCTCTCTTCCCTAGACATTCCCATCTTTCTCCCTTATCTCCGCCCTTCCACCTCCCCCTCTCTCTCTGTCTTTTATTTTTCTGTCCCATTTCCACTCTTTTATACTGTCACAGTGTAATTTATTCTTATTCGCAGTCTTAAAAAGCAAGCATGCATATTAATTAAAATTTCTTCCATCTCTGATTTATTCATTGTTCATCGATTTTCTTTATCATGTTTATTATGCCAAATATATATGTTCATTGATTGTCCACGATTTCATTGATTGATTAATAAAGGTAATGTCATTGATTGATCATTTGTCTTCATTTCTTTAATAAATTGAATAACTGAAATCACTCAGCTGTAATAATTATAATATAGAGTATAAATAATGCGCCAACTCCACATAACTAATGTGTTCGAGGCGCATGGAGAAAAAAAGCTAAAAGTACACAAAAATACACACAAAAATGAACAAAAACAATGTGAAAGTAAATCTAAATCTACCGGAAAGCCGCTTTGAACAAATGAGTTTTGAGGTCATGTTTAAAGCAATCTACACTTGAAATATAACGAATATGTTGTGGCAATTTTTGTAACCGTGAAAGTTAAGATTGTGGCAGCTGAAACAAAAATGCATTACCAAATTCAAGTCGAGACGATATGAGGGCACGAACTATTTTTGTTGTGGCCGAGCGGGTTAAAGACTTGCGGATAATGCCTAAATTACGTAGTTGATACCTGACAGATTTACAAACACCTGGAATGGAAATTGTAGAATCAAATAAAGCTCCAAGATTTCTACATGATTTAGAGGGAGTAATAACATCATCATCAACCTTAATAAATGGAAGGCTGACCCTGCCTAATAGAGTTTTAGAACCGATAAACAACAGCTCCGGTTTCTCTTGATTTAATTTCAAGGAATTAGAGCTCATCCATTCTTGATATCATGAACACAAGCCTCAATGTTTTAATGGAATCAATGACATTGGTTTGGTTAGGTAGGAATGATGTATACAGTTGGATACCGTCTGCATAACAATGGCAATTAAAAGAGTGTTGTTGTATAATGACATTGCAAATGTTGCATATTGCCATAGTTTTAAATTCTAGCTCTTAAACCCTGACCTCAAAGAACAAAAAGAAACTGCAGATTTCTGCTAACAGATACCTTGAGAAACAGGAAACAGTCCAGTCAGAGAAAAATAAGAAGAATCAAGGATGAGAAGGAGGGGAGCAGAAAAAGAACAGAGGAGAGCAGAAAAAGAACAGAGGGCAGATTTTAAAAGATTAGTGGAACCACTTTGGGTGGCTCAAAAGAAAACTAACATCGTTCGTAGAATAAGGAAGGAAGGTGAAAAAAGAGAATAGGGGAGAGAAAGAAAGATCTGTCTGAGAGGGAGGGTGAGAAAGAGAGGGACACACACAGAGACACACATAGAGAGATATACATTGAGAGAGAAAGAGAGAGAGAGAGAGAGAGGGGGAGAGAGAGAGGGAGGGGGGAGAGAACAGAAAAGAGGGATTTTTTATCAACATATCCTGTTACATAACTGACAAGATCTACAATCAAGATGTTCCTATCAATCATTCCCAGTTATAAATCGAGTTAAGCGACTTCACGGATATCTTACTGTTGTTCTTCTTCCTCTTCTTCATCGAAATCCTCCTCATCGACAGTTGCGTCCTGGTACTGCTGGTACTCAGACACCAAGTCGTTCATGTTGCTCTCAGCTTCAGTGAACTCCATCTGGTCCATACCCTCGCCAGTGTACCAATGAAGGAAGGCCTTTCGTCTAAACATGGCGGAGAACTGCTCAGAGATGCGTTTAAAGAGTTCCTGGATGGCGGTGCTGTTGCCGATGAAGGTGGCAGCCATTTTGAGACCTCGGGGAGGGATGTCACAGACAGCAGTCTTGACATTGTTGGGGATCCATTCGACGAAGTAGCTGCTGTTCTTGTTCTGTACGTTGAGCATCTGTTCGTCAACCTCCTTCATGGACATACGGCCACGGAAGATTGCGGCGACGGTGAGGTAGCGGCCGTGGCGAGGATCGCAGGCTGCCATCATGTTCTTAGAATCAAACATCTGCTGTGTTAGCTCGGCAACAGATGTGGCCCTGTATTGTTGACTACCACGGCTTGTAAGAGGAGCAAATCCAGGCATGAAGAAATGGAGACGTGGAAATGGAACCATGTTGACTGCTAGCTTACGAAGATCTGCGTTTAGCTGGCCAGGAAACCTGAGACAAGTTGTGACACCACTCATGGTTGCAGACACAAGATGGTTCAGGTCGCCATAGGTCGGAGTTGTAAGCTTCAGGGTTCGGAAGCAGATGTCGTAGAGTGCTTCATTGTCGATGCAGAACGCCTCATCGGTATTCTCGACCAGTTGGTGGACGGACAGGGTGGCATTGTAAGGTTCGACGACGGTGTCTGAAACCTTTGGCGAAGGAACAACGCTGAAGGATGTCATGATCCGATCAGGGTATTCCTCACGGATCTTGGTGATCAGGAGGGTTCCCATACCAGAGCCAGTTCCACCTCCCAAAGAATGCGTAAGCTGGAACCCCTGTGGACATAGACACATGAAATAAATGGTCACGCATGTTTAAGCCAGACTCTTAGGTATTCGGTTCCGAGTGACCTATTCTTGAAATGATAATTGAATAGGAAATGGAAACGATAACGTGAATGCAACAATTTCAATATCTTTCCTAATCAAAGAAATTACAATATTGAATTCATTTCGTGGCTTCTTTCTGTTAATATTTTTAAATGACTAATAATTTCAAATGAAACAATATTTATCAAAAAGCTTTGGAGCATATTGTAGGTACAATAACACATATGCGGTCTGAATAAGAATTACAAAAGCCAGGGAGGATCTAACCCTGATGATATGGCCAGTATTAGATATTAAATGAATAATTTGAAAATGAAATAATGAGAAAACATAAGCCAGACAAAATGATTCGAATCAAGAGATCAATTAAGGGATTCTGGTATTTGTAACGAACAGATGAACTGAAGTTAATTCAGTCGCCAGACAACAAAGTCATAATAGCAATTTGGAATATACGGACACAAAATTACAAGCGTTGTTCCAAAACACTTTCAAAGTCCACTGCACAACTCAGGCATCAGAATTGTAATGTTTTGTATAGTGAAGGTTGTTTTGTAATGCTTCGTGAAGGATATATTACTATGATCGAAACAATGAAACAAGTTTTTTAAACCAACCTGAATACAGTCACATCCCTCGGCCTCCTTTCGTACAACGTCCATCACAGAATGGATGAGTTCAGCGCCTTCTGTGTAGTGTCCTTTGGCCCAGTTGTTCCCTGCTCCGCTCTGGCCAAATATGAAGTTGTCAGGTCTGAAAAGCTGACCAAATGGCCCAGAACGGACCGAGTCCATAGTGCCTGGCTCGAGGTCGAGAAGAACCGCTCTTGGGACGTATTGTCCCCCTGCCGCCTCATTGTAGTAGACGTTGATACGCTCGAGCTGGAGATCAGAGTCACCGTGATAAGTACCGGTCGTGTCGATGCCGTGTTCATCAGAGATCACCTCCCAGAACTAGACAATAGTCAACAAGAGGAATGATTAGAGAATCATGCTAATTTAAATTGGGATCATATTTTCAATTGAATTCAAATATTAAACTGTTAGAAATATGTTTCATAAAATTATATACTAGGCTTCAACTGCAAAGACAGGTGAGTTACGTGATTGACGAGGACGCGATGTGATTTTATCATTTTCACACAGGTACTTGGTAAAGGTAGATTTATCTACTCTTTGTATTATGACCGTGTTCATGTTCTTTGTCATGTTATATAAAACTATTTCTGTCTCTGATGGCATCCCCCTTTCCCCTTTTTTGTATTTTCTTTGTTTAGTTACGGACTTGTTAATTCAATTACTCATTATTCCTATAAGTATCATCTGAGAAGTCCACAATTGTACAAACAATGCTTTTTAATGGACCCCGCTGTTTCCAATATGTATTCCTCAATTTGTTGTAAATGTTTATTATTGATTTGTAATGTTTTGTTGGAAATATACATTTATTGAAATTGAATTGAAAATTTAAATCATACAGTTTGCCACATAAAGAACATAAATATTCAACTGATCACGTGCAAAATCATAGTGCACTTGTTTATAGAAAAACCCTGAGATAGTTGGTAGTTTATCAGACGCTTATTACAGGATTAAGGGGCCTTTGTGAAAATAAATTCATCGGATATCAACAATTTAATTGAGCACCGGAAGCCCGTATCAATGTTTTCTCCTCTAACAATCATACTAAGATTTCGTGTTTTTTTATTTGGTAAGAACTAGAGAGCGGATAATTCCACGAATATCCGAAAGTTATAAATTCACATTATTTATGGTAAAGCAAGGATTTTGCTGCAGAGAACCTAATAGCACAGTAGTAGAACACAATATATTGATCGAAATAACAGACTCGTTCTAGAACGCTGTATCATGTTAAAGAGCGCCCCCTTGTGCTGTCCTGATCAGCGTCACTTGCAACTATTTTTGTGCAATTTACAGCAATAATGACCAAACTAGCAATAGAGCAATAGAAATGATATTCGCATGGACTAAGATATACTTAAGGGTATGTTTATGCTCAACTTTTTCTGGCCAGAATCAGGCATCTGTTACGCGTTTAATTAAAAACACGGTTGCGTCCTTTCTCATTTGTGTAGAATCACCGAAAAAACGGCGATCACGATTGCCGATCGTAAACTCACAAAAAGGTGCATTTACGATCGGCAATGCTGCAAAATCGGCGATTCTGGGAAGTATAAACGCACAATCATTTGTAAACGCGTTTAAATGGGATCAACGCACTGACCTAGTGGGTCTACGTAGCATGCGCAGTGCAGGTTTGCGAATCCAGCTGCAAGGCCACCCAGCCAGATTTGCCTGGAGGAGCCAGAGAAGTGAGCATAAACAGTACACCGTGGAACTGCGATTACGATGAGCGTTTCAGATCGCTTATTCTACCTTCAAAATCAAGCATAAACGCATTCTAATATACATCGACACACACACACACACACACACACACTCTCTCTCTCTCCCTCTACCTCCCCTCTTTCTCTCTCTTTCCCTCTCTCCCTCTGTCTCTTTCTCTCTCTTCCTCTCGCCCTCTCCCTATCTCGCTATCTCTCTCTTTCTTCAAAGCACATGTAAATATTTGTGTTCCCATCTAGTACTACGATCGGTACAAGGACTTATTTAAGAGCGTTAATTATTTGCCATCATCCGAGGGCGTCCTTGTAAACTCAGAATCATCGATATTTAGTTCGGCCAAGTCGAGCACAAATCATAGAGCTCAAGTTGTTATGTTAGGCAAGGACACAACAAAAATAATGACGGACAGGGTAAACTGTCAGCTGAAATACCCTAAATACTTTTAAATACACGTACAAAAGTTATTCTTCAAATGATTTTCTTCTTTCTCCTCACTCTTCTTCTTCATCTTCTTCCTCCTTCTCCTTCGTCTTCTCTTCATCTTCTTCTTCTTCCTCTTCTTCTTTTTCTTCTTCTTCTCCTTCTTCTTCTTCTTCTTCTTCTTCTTCTTCTTCCTCCTCCTCTTCTTCTTTTACTCCTGGTTCCTTAAATTATTATTTTTTTTATACCTTATTTGTGACACAGGGGTCACGAATTGGCGTGGGGTCAAGGGGGTGGAGCCCCCGGAAGCTCAGGGGTTTTGGGCAATAAATAACGGTCAGATGAGCCCTTCGCCCCCGTTTCCCTCTTTTCTTCTTATTCTTTTCCCTCTTCTTTCTTTCCTTTTAGATTTTCTTTCCCTCTCCCTTCTCTATCTTATTTATTTTTTTGGCGGGAGGGGGGGGGGGGTAGGTAAGAGCCTTTCGCCCTTCCCCCGTTTCCCTCTTTCCTTCTTCCTCTACTTTCTTCCCTTTTATATTTACTTTCCCTTTCCCTTTCCCATCTCTCTCTCTCTTATTTATTTTTTGGCGGGGGGGGGGTATGAGGAGGAGGCAAGAAGAGCCCTTCGCCCCCCCCCCCGTTTCCCTCTTTTCTTCTTATTCTTCTTTCTTTTCTTCTTATTCTTCTTTCTTTCCTTTTATCTTCCCTTTCCCTTTCCTTTTTTTCCTTCTCTCTGTCTCCCCCATCAACATAGTAATAACGAAAGAGACCACTCTGTTATCAAGACGGCGTAAATATTCATAATTGAATGACACACGCCCTTAAAACTAAAACAACAACAACAACAACCATTCCATTTTATCTAATACATTTTCGATATACTTAAATTGGCAACTATTACCGTCTGTCCCAGATCCTCATTTTAAACGACTGATGCGAAAGACTAGTCGACGCACCCTTTCGAGAAAAGCCCCTCCCCCCGCTTTTATCGAAAGGGTGTGTTAAAACGGTAATCCGCTCTCAACGCACCCTTTCGAGAAAAGCCCCCCCCCCCCTCTTTTATCGAATGGGTGCGTTGAGCACACCACACCGCGCCGCACCGCACCGCACCCTTTCGATGAAAGCCCATGGAGTGCACTGAATGTGCATGAATGAATAATGTTACATAACATTCATTAGCACGTACCCAGTATTTCGTCTCCGTGTATTTCAAAAATTGTTCTGCAATGACCTTTATCTGCTCATGCTCAGACTGCAACCGTGAACTGGCTTATAGTCTCGTATTGACCGCACCGTACTTTTTGTCATTTTCATTGCGCATCTATTAAACCCGCGCACTTTACAAATAGTTTGTAAACTTCTCCAATACCCCAATGTGGGTGACATGAGAATAAATTGTCATTGTCATTGTCATTGTCATTGCGCACACGTAATAATCACACCAAAGGCACAATGTTTGCAGTGTATCGCAAATTTCGTCAAGCACTGCTGGTTGACAAAGTTTGTTTAGTTCTTTGAGATTGTCATGGTTGATTTATGTATTTGCTCTAGACGTCTGATTTGGATAACAATATACATATTGACTGGCTTAACTTTCGGTAGATACCACATATACTGCCCTCACAAGACCCATATTGCCCTCGTCTTTGACTTGGGGCAATATGAGTCTAGTTTGGGAAATATAATGTGGTATCTCCCTCAAGGCCAGTCGATATTATATAAATATTACATACGACATGACAATATGATTAGAGTTTCGTTTGCATTGGAACCCTATAAAATTGTCAAACTTTGGCTCACTCGCTCGCTTCGTTCACTGACAAAGAAAACCTGTGGCCATTACATGCAACTAGGAAATATCGGGGTTGTGTTGTTGCCCCCACCCCCATCCACACTTTTACAAATAGCGCTGGGCTCTAAGAAAAAGGAGAAAGACAGCGGGACGTAGAAAGGAAGATCTAGAAGGAGGGAGGGAGGGAGGGAGGGAGGGAGGGAGAGGGATACGAATATAAGGGATGGTAAAATAACTCGAATCATGATACATTCATAAAATGAAACTCATAATTAAAAAAACACACAGGATGATTGCTATCATAAAACTAAAGCAAATACATCAACCTATTCTTACGGTTAAACTCTAAATTGCGCAGTTTAACACATTGGCGAGAAAACCACATTATTGTTACCAATGCGGTCGTTATTGTAACGATCATGGTGTCTTTTCAAATCACATTTCAAGGCCATGTACTATTGATAATAATGTTATTCAAACTGGCCTCGATACGCACGCGGTATGTAACCATAGTATGTCTACAAGGAGAAATATCACCCCGCCCCCAAACACACACACACATGGTGGAGGGCGCGTTTTTACCTGAAATATAGACAACTATATATTCAGGAATATATTTCTGGATTGGAGAACCGTTGAAGTACTTATAGTCAATAGAGTTCTCTCTGCTCAGTGCAGTAAAGAGTGATAGGGATTATGTAGTGTTACTATACAGTGTGAGTAAAAAAAAAAGTTTACACCTAGAAAATTGCTAATTATTTTTAAGATCATCTATGAACAGTAAATTATTATGCATCTTATGAAAGAGTGTTTTATCCCAAATCATTTGGTATCATTTTTGTGTGGTATGTGTTCACGCTTAGATGAACAGGAGGCATTGTTTGCGAGAGTGCAAAAATCGACTTGCGCCAAAGTTGCTCGTGTGATGTTTGAATAAAACAATTGGGATTGGGGAATTAAATCGGTTTTTGCAGATCCAAATAACATCCCTAACAACATTAATCATGCCACACGTATCAAATATCGAATATCAAATGTCAAAGAACATTTGTGCGCGTGATTGTGTGCGTGTGTGACTTTGCTTCTGCAAAAAGCATATACAATGCATTTCATTTGATACATTCAATTTATCCTCTCACTCCGCTTATCCCAACATAATACATGCTGTAGGCATCACTTTGGCGCAAGTCGATTTTTGCACTCTCGCAAACAATGAGAAAATCCAAACGTGAGAATATACCACACAAAAATGATACCAAATGATTAGGGGTCAAAAACTTTTTCATAAGATGTATAATAATTTACTGTTCATAGATGAGTTTTAAAATAATTAGCAATTTTCTAGGTGTAAACTTTTTTTTGACTCACACGGTAGTGTATTTCAAAATAGTAGTACATGTATGAGGCCTGCAGTGTCACCAATTGGTACAAAGTCATAGTTTTATATCATATATGAATATTTGAAAGTTCGTGCGTGATACAAGTTTCAACCCAATGTCTATTTTTCATTGATCACTCTGATTCTAAAGCCCCCCCCCCCACTTGAGGCCTCTACGCGTGGATGCATCCACAGGGGAAAGTGGACATTCTTCATGACACACAATAGCAGTTTCTCTGGGGTTTTTTGCCTTATGGGGCTTTAACATATACACTCCGGGGCCCGTACGGCGAGTAAAAACAGACATTTTGGGAATTTTCGGCCGGTGCCCAGCCAGCTGCCGTAAAGTTCCTACGTGTGCTGGGACGGTTTTTTAAGCCGTACGGGCGTCGTGGTGCTGAGTTATGCCTGGATTACATTTGCCCCGTGCGCCGTGCGATAAATTAGTCTACGATTTTTCGTAGACATCGTAGGAGGCTACGGGTTACGATGTTTGTGTTTACATTATCTACGAGCATCGTGCCATTTATTGTATTGGCCCTCGGGGGCAGGCCGAGGCAAATCCGTACAGAGGCTGCTCGGAGATTGTACGGAAATCGTGCAATTTGTATGCAGTAGCCGTGCAGTCTCCGCAGCCTCCGCACGGAAATCGTACGGAGCCCGGGCAGCTTCCGTGCAAAGGTTGCGCGGAGAAGGCGCGGTGACTGTACAGCCGTGTCCACCGAAAAATCGTACGTTTGCCGCACAATCAGTGCGAGGCCTCCGGGCGATGCCCGCGTGGGGATTGTGCAATGCAACCTATGACATATATACGGGCTACGGGCTTACGATTTTTTAAAAATTTGTTTAACTTCGCGCGAAACAAAATCGTAAAGGCTGCGGAGCCCGTGAATCCGTACGAAAATCTCACGGCCGCCCTCTGCCTCCGCACAGAGGATACGGGCAGAATACGGGCTCCGTAGACTAATCGCAGGCCAAATGTAATCCAGGCATTGGCTGCTCCCAATTCTCCCGGCGTTTTTATCTGACCGTTAGGCCGTAGGAGGCCCTAAAGGGCCCGTAGGGCACCCTACAGGTTCCATGCGAGCTCCGGACGCTGCCCGGCCGGGCCCCTAACGATTTTGTTACATTTACATTTTGGTACATTTTCATTAAAAATCTTTACGGGCGCCTTGCAGTGCTCAAAGGTGCCATACGTGTACCCTACGGCTCCCTCACGGGCCCCTCAAGAGCCCCGGTGATATGCACAACAATGGGCGTCTGCCGTTCGGGGGCCATTTAAAATGAATATTGCCCTTGCGGGCCCGTCACGGCGGCATCTCAAAATGTACAACGCAGCTTTAAATGCAGGAGTTGCGGATGTCAGAGGACACCTAGTTCAGTGCACCGCACGGCACCCACCCGGGCCCCGGCAGGTCACCTTCCGGGAGCCACGGGTGCATCTGCTCATCGGACGGAGCCCGTCACCTTACCGGCAGGCACCTGCCGGCACCCTTACGGGCGCCTTGCATTTCACTCGGCCAATTTTCACCGGGCAACTAACTCCCGGGCACCGCAGAATATGTGACCGCACATGCCGTAGAAATGAAATTCGGAAGGTTCCCGTACGGTCTCTAAATCCACGGCAAGCCGTCGGGTAGGGAAAATCGTACGGGGCCCGGTTTATAGGTGACCTAGGCATTAAGGTGAACAACTAAACATCCCCGGCGAGAAGCAAGAGAGATATTCTCAATGTCACACATGAGTTACTATAATACAAATTGCATTTTCCATGTCCTCCTGACAACCAGACATTTTTCTTACAAAATGAGGTGAACCAAATCCCTTTAGAATCAGGATCAGACAATGATTGTCAATATATAGCAAACACTAGAAGAATGTGCAGCTTCGTTGTATGATCATTGAACTGCTGCAACATGCCATTCAATCTGGTCTAGACTAGCATACTCACATGCTTGAATGACTACCTACCTTTAATGAAGTACATTGTGTCTACCATATGTATAGTCAGGCGCGTACGCAGGATTTTTTCAAGGGGGGGGGGGGGTTAACAATTTCAAATTGGGCGGAAAATTTCGCAACGCCTCAGCCAGCCGCTGAATAATCGGGGGGGGGGGGGTAAGAGGAGATATATATTTTTTTTTGGTCCCAAAAATTTCGCAACGACTCAGCCAGCATAAGCACATACATTAAAACAAATGAAGGGGGGGGGGGGTAACCCCCCCCCCTGCGTACGCGCCTGCCCAAAACAAGATTGAAAAAAGATCATCCAAACAGCAACAGAATTGCTCAACCTCAGTCTAGTTGAATCTGTGGCACACACAATAGCTAGACACTTGAAAAACAACACTCATCCAATAACAAGAAATAGACTAAATTCAGATGAATTCAGAGAAGGTTGTGCAAGCTGCCTCTCAACGCTAAGCCCATTCTCCATTCTTATAAGTGGCAGAAACATTAACATTAAAAATAGTGCTCGAAGATGATTTCACTCTATATTTCACAAGCTTGTTGAAAAAAGACAACGGAAGATCTTTTTCATCTTTACATTAAAAGAAAAAAAATAAATCGAATTATCCTCTTTAAAAACACATATTTCAAACCTTTATTGGTAAACACTTTTCATTCAATATGGTTAGGAAGAAATGTATCTGTTTTAATATCCTTTGCTTCTGGTCTTGTAATCACATTTTGGCTGAAGTCAAATTATTTTGAGATTTAATTTCCTATGACAATAATTTTACTTGATACTTTGAATTGCTTTCTTGATGCTCTGTCCTAAAAATAAAAAAAATAAAAAAAAATAGTCCAAAACATATTTTTTCACGACTCCAAGAATGTTATAAAATACTTTGGGTTATATCGATTAAGACTTAAACGTAAAAGTTGCGATAAAGACGTTTCTGTAAAACACTTCTCAAATGTCTCGAATTTAGTTATGAAAATGTGAATCAGCTTCAGAAAAAATAAAATTGGTCTTTGAGCATGCATAGTGTGCTATCCCGTAACAACGAAACCATATCCAAAACAGTTTAAGACATAGCCATTCTGTCGAGTACTCCACAACCTCACTACAATCGGACATATAACTGATTAAAAATAATATTTACCGATGCTTTCTCGCCGATTTTCACCTTTTAATATCCCTTTTTACCTTTCGCTAAGCTAACTTTTGCTAAAGGTAAGCCTAAAATAAGATTTACATCGAAAACTACAAAGAGTAAATGGGGCGTGGTACCCGGGAAGGGAATTATAACCTTCTCCGTTGCATTTACAAGAATGAATTCACATCAATTGAAGAAATTCGGCTTCTTACCTTAGCACCAATCTGGTTGCCACATTGGCCAGCTTGGACATGGACTATCTCACGCATGTTGTCTTGAAAATTCTGTTTCCCGGTAGATCAAAAGTCTGGATAAGCCTTAATATTGCTGTGCTTGTCTAGCCACATACACAGACGAAAAGTTTTATGATGTTACACTTCCCGGTTATTAATATATGTATTCCATACTTCTGTTGTATTTCGTTTAATTAAGTGTGAAAAGCATATTGTACACACAGTCTAGCCTGTCTAGGGTAGGCTATGCGTGGGAGAAGAGGAATCTGGGGAGAGAAAGGGAGAGAGAGAGAGAGAGAGAGAGAGAGGGAGAGAGAGGTAGAAAAAATGTATTATTGGGGGCGTGACTAGTTTTGTTCCAACACCACGAGAGTAGTCTATTGTAAAGGGGAAAAATCAATTTATGGCTACACTATCACATTTTTATGATTCATGTTAATAATAATAATAGCTAGTCCTTATATAGCGCTTTTCAGGACCGAACGCCCTCTCAAAGCGCTTTACAGATAATTATATGCATTGTTACCCATGGACTCCATGGAAGAACAGAGCCATTAGGTTAATGGCTCTGAAATGAAATATCCAACCGTTTTATCATTATATTATTGTTATATAAGTCTTTGATTTTGTTATATCGTGTTACTGTTTTTCGATAATTTTCGGAAATAAAACAAACAAACAAACCCCGTCATTGAATTCAGGCTTACCCGCACACAATGTATGCACGTTCTCCATTCCCTGGGGAGCACTCCAACCAGGCGTCATTTTTACTAGCGCACACTTGCTAATCTAAACACATTAGCTTTCGCATTCTACCGGGTACACATTTAACACCTGGGTGGAGAGTGGCAAATGTAGATGTCTTGCCAAAGGACATTAGTGCCGCTGTGAGACTTGAACCGCGGAACTTGTGATCCACACTCCGATGACATATCCACTCGTCCACGACACCTTAGTAAGAAATAACCTCCAGACTTCATGTAGCACTTATCGTTAAATCATTATTTTCATAAGGGACGATCCAAATTTTATATCAAACTACTTTAAAGGGAAACAGAAAATCGGAGGAATAGATTGGTCAATATTTGCAAGACGTCTGTTGGATATTAGGAAACTTATTATATGGAAAGTTCAGTTCAGTTTAGTTCAGTTTAATAATTTATCAATTCTTCTCAAGCATTAAAACAATATTATAATATATACAAAAATGGGAAATAAACATAGTAAGAGAAAAACGGAAACTATAAAAAAGTTTATAAAAACTTTAGAAAAACCCATGTCGAAGTGTTTCCGTGATGCAGCGACAAATACACCTCCCCCCCCCTCCCCTGCAAAAAAAAAAACAAACAAAAACGAAAACGACGGAATCAAAGAATTGGAGAGGGAAAATGGAAGGGGAAAAGGTGAAAATACCACGAAAGGACCTTTTTAATATATTGATATACATGTAGGAATAAATACGAATTATGCAATTTCTTTTATATTATGAAAAACTTTACGTAATAGTTAGTTCTTTATGATCTAAATCATGAGGTACAGTTATTTATTGTAAATTTGATAATTTGTTTATGATTATCAACCATGCCCTCTACGTGTCATTATGTTATATTGTTTTATTTTACGTTTGGAAATGAAAATGAAAATTGGCATTGCATACACCCGTTGTCATTATGGACCCCCCATAATGACGTCTGCGCTTCCTCACAGCCTGTATCAACGCTACGCCACTGATTACCCGTACAATTTAAAGGCCATACGTACTAGTTCGGCCAGGGGGATAAGACCACCCAGAGAGGTCACTGACAGGTGGCTATCTCATCAACTCGGCTCTCAATTAACATTTAAAGAGGGCCATGGGTGATCAATAGGCACTCATTGGGAAAGTTTTCTATATGCTACAAGTAGGACAGTGAGGCTTTAATGGTTACTAACTCAACTAAAATTCCTGGATATTCCTGGATTTTTTCATGTCACTTAATAATGTTAACAGTTCTTGCAGGGAAGCGCTTACTACAGCCCCATTACGACATCAAATAACAAATACAAGAATATTGGGCTACCTCGAAAGAGAATACATTATCGGACGTGTTCAATAAATTCCTCATTCGGGTCTAGATCCATGAGGTGTCTTTACAAAAAGGATATTTTAATTTACTGCAAAATATCTAAATATTTGATATCAGTAATAAATCTCTATCATAGCTGCTCACAGCCTCCATTACTTGTATATGTACGTTCTTCCCAGATAACAAGTAGGACTATCATGTTCCACAGTCAGATTAATGATATTTTAGTTCGGAGCTATTATAATCAGAGAGTAATAACGAAATATAGCAGTCATATACTAAAAATGTGCATTGTTCTAATTATGAGTTGATTGCATTTGCAGTGAATGTTTATTTTCAGCATGCTCAGTTTATATGTCAATCACAGACCGGAACAGAGGTTGAATTTCACCACACGATTATCATAGTACTGCAAACAAGCTGTTGATATCTACCGATTTTAAGCTCTACTGGATAGTTGAATAATACTTTAAAGAGTTATCAATCTATAAAAAAAGGATATCCAATCTTGATAGCAAACTAATAAAAAGGGAAGCAGAACATCAGAGAAGCATACTTATAAAAGTTTGAATGAAACTGGGCACAGAGTGAGAAAGTTATGAATTTTTGAAAGTTGTTATCTCTATAAGTATAGGCTCTTCAGATTGACTGAATCGATAACGTCTCAGTGATGTAGCGGCGGACAACTTTCCGACCTGCTCCCACAACTAAAATGACTAAAATTTAAATTTTCAAAATTTACGACTCACGAGGGTCTTTTCTGTATAGAGGACTTATAATGATATGCATAATATATTTTAAGTAGTACACCCAAGGGAGCAGGCGCATAGGAGAAAGACAATTTTTTTGTTCACGACAAGCAGGAGAGCTATCCACGACTACGTCACAATCCACTGACCAAACTACCAATTTGAAATCCGCACATAGGTAGTGATTTAACCGGGCATGGTGGCTCAGTCGTTAGAGCGCCCGCCTCATGAACGGGAGGTCGTGGGTTCGAACCCCGGCCGAGTCATACCAAAGACTTATAACAATGGGACCTTCTGCCTTCTAGCTAGGCGCTCAGCATATTAGATTGGAGAAGGGTAGTAATAACATATTATGTTATGCAGGGCCCGCTGGAAGAACAGTTTCATAACTGAAGTGGCTACCCTGGGTAAATAAAAGTTATTATTATTATTATTATTATTATTATTATTATCTCGTATTTCAAACATATAACTTTCTTATTATTGCTCCGATTTATTTCAACTCTAGCCATTATTTTACCTCATTTTCATGCGTTCCTTTAAATGAACATGTTACAAGGGTTGGATTGCCCTTTAATAGATTTAGAACAAACACCCCTCACTGGTAAACACAAGTTTTACATCGATTCCTGCGACACCATTTATTTTAAACTTTGTTTCTCCTTCTCCCCGTCTGTTATGGTACATGTAAGTGACTATACAGCCAATATAGGTGTGTTTTGGTGCGTAAAGCAGGGCTCCCACTTAGCCGAGTTGGAGCCTCGAGTTGTGGTGAGCTGGCGCGATCTTATGGCAAGCAGTTTTATCATTAACACATATTTCTTGATATCAAGAATTCAATTCTTGATATCACGAAATCGAATTCCTGATATCACGAAATCGAATTCTTGATATCAAGAATTACCATTGCTTTACAACGTAAAATTATTTCTTGACATCAAGAATGGATTTCTTGATATCAATTAATAATAAAACGGCTTGCCATAAGATCGCGTCAGCTCGCCACCACTCGAGGTTCCAACTCGGCTAAGTGGGAGCCCTGCTTAAGGGAGGCGTTCCATAGAGCAATGTTATTTTAGTTGTCTTTTATTGACATTTATGTGTAATGTTTTATTATTGAGGATGTTATTAATATGGGTGTTTTTAAAATACCATTTTATACATTCATATCACATATCACACACCCACACACACACACACCCAATTATAATGTGTGTCCGTGTGCGTGTGCGTGTGTGCGCGCGTGTGTGAGTGTGTGTGTGTGTTTGTAAGACGTGTAAAACGGGGATAATCATAATCATGCGAACATTACTTCCTAATGGGGATACACTGGCAACTGTGGATATCCCCAGTTGATAACTTTCTAATTTTTTGTTAATTTTGGTAAAAGGAGCACTACTCCTCCCGATTCGTAAGAAAATATTTAGCAGCAAATAAGCGGGGAGGGGGCATATGGAAACGTTTGCTTGTATTTGTCTCATAAAAGAATATGAGCACGAACTGACTCCCACACGGTGTTGAGTGCTCAGGGGTCACAGGCCAATGGCTTCATCGGGCAGGTAGTTCCATTATGTGAATGGGTAAATTAACTATTACAAAATGAGGGGACACATCACATTGTACAATAGGGACACACATTGTTTTTATTGTGCAGAACATACTCTTTTATTGACTTACTTATTGCATGAAACTATATAACCAAAATGCATTTTGTATTCTAACAATTGGAGTACAAAGAATAATAACAGGTGAATGAAATGCATAAACACCACAAACACCTGGGGAGGAAGCATTCATAACTTTGAATACATATATATGATAAACGACTCCGATGAAACTATAAAACCAAAATGAAATTTGCGTTCTGGCAATTGGAGTACAAAGAATGATAGCAGGTGAATGAAATGCTTCAACAGCAACACAAACACCTGGGAAGCTAGGAAGCATCCATAAATTTGAATAATTTAGTTGATAAACGACTCCGCATGTGGACGTTTGTTGGAGCAGAAAGCAGTGGATTCTTAACAACACGAACCCATTTAACATAATGTCGGAACGTAAATTAAATTTGGCGCGGTTGGAAAATGCATCTTTCTACCCTGCAACTTTAATGGTACGATCCAGTAAATTAAAACAATAACATGGCTCTTATTTTAAAATTACTCATTAAATGAAACCCAAAACTTCAGTGATATCAGAAAAAATATGTTATATCTTACTA